TGCTTACAGTTGGGCAAAATTATCTAACACAAAGCCTATTTAATAATAAAGTGTTAAATATCTCATGTAATTTATTGAATACTATATTGAAAGTATATTGAAAGTGTTGAAACAACAGAATGGCTGTATGGGTACTCAGAAGTATAGTTTCTACTGAATGCATATTGCTTTTTCACTATCGTGAAGTTAAAAAATCCTAAGCTGAACTATCCTAAGTAAGGGACTGCCTGCATTGGTAACCTGCAGTTAAATGTGAATTCCTATGAACAAAATATAGACAACGATCAACTTGGAAATATGTTTACTTTCACAACATTATTTTCTAGTGGGCTGATAGAAATTCAAACCCATCTTACAGAAACCATGTAATTACATAGTATTGTGATTTTTAAGTCTATAATGGCCAATCAAACCAATAATGAATCAGGCTCTGTGTTAGGTGCTTATGACACACAAATGAGTAAGTTATAATCCCTGTGCCAAACAGCTAAGAGTTAGAAATATGGACAAATAAAACACATAATTTTAATACTGAATTTAAAGGGTTGTACAGGAGTACACAGCAGTGTAGTTATACCAAGAAAGTAGTGATTAGCTCTATCAGTTAAGAAGTTGAGGAGAAAAAAAGTTGAGGAAAACAACCGAGGACTTAAAAGGGCATTTTAAAAGGAATTAAACATAAGCAAGAGTATGCCAGTTGATGGGAGAAGGAGAAGACATTAAATTTACGAAAGAGCAGGGAGTTCCTTGAAGAGTAGGGTAGATAGAACAAGCCTAAGGAGGCAAAGCCAGAAAGTTGAGCTGGACCCAAATCAGGAAGCCTTGCATAGTATGCCAAGGAGTTAGACCTACTGTTGGCCAGAGCTCCCAGAAAGTGTGACTAAAAAATGATCCCTTCAGTTTTCAATGTGGCCAGGAGAATTACTGTTTGATCATAGGGTAGGTATATGTTTGATTTTATAACAAACTGTCAGTTTTCAAACGTGATTGTATCATTTTCACCCCAACCAGCACTGTACAAAAGTTGTGGGTGCTCCAGTGATGGTGTTGCCAATCTTTTAAATTTAAGCCATTTTAATGGGTGTGTAATGGTATGTCATTGTGGTTCCACTGATTACTAGTGTTGTTAAGTATATTTTCATATACCTAAAATGTATCTTACAGAGTGCCTGTTCAAGATTTCTGCCCAATATTTATTAGCTTCTTTTTTATAACACTGAGTTGAGGTGTTCTTTATATAGCCTGGAAACAATTCCTTTGTCAGATATATGTACTATGATTATTTTCTCTTAGTCTTTTGATTTCCTAATGTTCTCTTATAACTAGTATTACAATTTAATTCTGATTAAATCTGATTAATCTCTATTTTTCCTTTATAGATTGTTCTGTCTCCTGTCTACCTCAAAACTGCAAAGATATTCCATTGTTTTTTTCTTCTAGAAGCACAATAGTTTGGCTTTTACATCTAGTCTATGATCCACCTTAAATTAATATTTGTGTATGATGTGAGGTAGGGATCATTTTTTTCCCTATATGGATATTAAGTTATTCCAGAATCATTTGCTAAAAAGACTTTCCATTCCTAATTGTATTGTTTTGATGTCATTGTTAAAAACCAACTGGTTGAACAGCATCTACTTTTTGGACTTTTGTTCTTTTCCATTGATTTATTTATCCAGTATCCTAATGCCAGTATCATACTGTCTTGATAACTATAGTTTTAAAGTAATTCTTAAAGTCAGACAGTATTAGTTCTTTAATTTTCATCTCCTTTTTCATGGCTGCTTTCAGCTATTCTAGGTCTTTTACATTTCCAAATACATTTTCAAATCAGCATGTTGATTTCTACCAGAAAGTCTGATGTGGTTTTAACTGGATATTTATTTTATTAAATCTATAAATCAGTGGTTCACAAAATGTGGGCTATGAACCATCAGCATCAGCATTATCCAGGAACATGTTATAAATGCAAATATTCACACCTACCCCAAAACCAGTGGATCAAAAACTCTAAAGCTTGGGGTCCAGCAATCCGTGTTTTAACAAGTCTTTCAGGTGATGCAGATGCAAAATAAAAGCATAAGAACTACTGTGGATCAGTTTGGGAAGAATGAATACATTAGCAATATTGTACATTCTAATCCATGAACAGATACTTCTCCCCATTTATTTTGGTCTTATTTAATTTATCTTACTAACATTTTGTAGTTTTGAGTACACAGATCTTGCACATGTTTTAATAGTATTCTAATACATAGAATACTAAATTCCATAGTATTCTATGTTTTCTAATACTGTTGTAAATGGCATTCTAATGGCTGCTGGCTAATCTTTAGCCATAATATATACGAGATATGGAAGGAAGTTTATTTGGAGTTGGGTATTCACTAAAAGATCTGAAAAAAAAAATTTAGTTTCTGGATCCAGCTGTCAATTTGGAAGGAAGATAGTGGACAGGGGAACATGATGAAGTGCACCAGGAACATAAGATCAGCAAAATCTAAACAGTGGCAAACTCTACAGGCCAACTAGGTTGGGTTTTTTAACACATAAATTTGTAAGGAAGTAAAAGGGATGGAAGAGGATAGACTGAAAGATTTAAAACAAATATGAAGTTTTTACAAAATGGACAAGTCTAAACTATAATGTATATTTCAGTGAAAAAACTATTTAAAATGAGAGGAAATGATTACTATAAAAGTTGGGTTAAGGTTTGCTTTTGTCAGGAGAGAGAAGTTGTGATTAGGATGGGATAAATGGGGCTGAAGTAGATGGCAAAGTTCTATTTCTTGACCTGGGTGGAATTTGCCTTATAATTTCACAGCTTAATAACTAAATAAGCTATTTTTTTGTTATGGTTTATAAATATATGTTTTACTTTACATTAAGAAAATTTTTTTCCTCATAATATGATGTAGCTAGAATTTGGACTTGAAGAGTGTAAAAGTTACAGTTGTAAGAACTGTGTTTGATAAAAACTAAAGTGTGCCTAATGAAGTGGTTGTTCACTTGAGGCAGGGATACTAGTGTGGATAAAGTCAAAGAACTGGGCAGCTAAAATTTGGGAAGGCATTGAAAGGAGAAGGCCATATGGCAGATTCTAATCTCAGCCATCAGTATGGTAGACTGTCTTGGATGTTGGCAAACAAAATGATGGTCAGGTACAGAGAAATATACATGGCTTACAAAGGTCCTCCACTCTCTTGGGCCCACAAACAAAGACTATTTGGGGAAGCAAGAAGCAGTTGAACTCTCTTTCTGTGGGGCATGGGAAAGTGAGCACAACTTACTTCAAGGAAAAAAAGGAACTCATTATCTTGCAGGCACAGACAGATTTCAGTTGAGGTTATGTGGTAGAGAAAGTTCCCAGGAAAATATTAATCATGAATGGTAATTTGCTAACAAAGAAACAGAAATTCCTGAAACACAATGGAAAGGGCCAAGAGGAAGGAAGAGAGAGAGAGAGAGAGAGAGAGAGAGAGTGTGTGTGTGTGTGTGTGTGTGTGTGTGTGTATTAGGGAGGGTACAAAGCAGCATAAAGAACAATGTGATTAACAGTACACTAAAAGGGAGGCAACAAAAGAGGGCTCATTTTGGATAATCAAAATTAACAAGAGTGAGCTCAGGGATGGAAGGACTTGGTGTGTTCTGGCTAGAGATTGTTTGAGGTGCTGAAATTACCTAAAATTTACAGACGTCGTGCCTGAGGCCCAACTATTGCAATTGCCTCCATTAATCACTTTGCACATTAATATTTCTATGAAGAAGGCTTTCAAAGTTCTGAGGATGGAGGAAGCAAGTGATAACAGTAGCTCTTATTATGACCAAGAGAAGGAGAAACAGAAAGCTCTTCAATCCATCCTTCACTGTAAACTATTGGGCATACTTCTGAATCCTGGATCACATTGCCTTTTATTTTTTTCCCCCAAAACAGCTTTTATTCCAAATTTTATCAGTGTTGGAAAGAAGGGTCTGAGAAAAGCAGGCCAAGGCAGAAGCAATATACAAAGCTAGAAACGGGTCAAGAGATGTACTCAGTCAGACGCTGGCCGAATGAACATTGATGGGTTCAGTATATGACAAATGTATGGAGCAAGTAAAGATAAGCATGCCAGTTGAGGCATCATCATGATTCTGCTCTAGAGCACTCCACCTCCCAACAAATGGGGACTGAGTATTGGAGCCCATTTATGTTGTCATCAGGGTTTGTAGTAGTGAGGAAATAGGCAACAGAAAAGAGGAGGGAAGTCCTAAATAGTAGAAGAAAGGGAATGCCTCTAGAAAAATAGTAAACAAAGCAGTATACTAATGCATTTAGAGACTCTCCTTTTATGAAATTACTTCTTATAAAATAACTTTAGAGATCTTTATGTATTTTTAAAATTAAAATTATAAAATAATTTTTATAAAATAATCTATATAAAAATTATGTTGTAAAACACATATACCATAGCATTTCTATGTTTTTTTATTGTTTACCACTGACTACCCATTTTTAAGTTTTAAATAAAAATTCAACTAATAATTACTGTTATAAAATACTTGCTAATTCTGTGTTTCTTTGGATACTTGATGGATTTAAATATATAATATTAAGGGAAACATAAGAGCATGATTTGGATAGGTCAAAGAGATTCAGTGTTTCTCAAACTTTTCCACAAAAGTTTGAGTATTGGCACAGAGAACTCCCAGGACCCAGGGGAAATGACCTGGTGCAAGCTGCTCCAAGTCCAGACTTTCTAAAAAGTGTTTTAAATTTTTATTTTTCCACTTTAATATTTATACAAATTTTGTTATATTCCATAATATGAGCATTTATTTTATCATATATTATTTTATTAATAATATAGGTTTATATATTAATTTATTATAAAATGTTTTAAGTTATTTTCTATGGAATAAAATCAACACTTTGGGAAAATACATCATAGTTTTTCTGAAGTTTCATATATCCTTGGGAATATATACTCCTAAATTATATCTTCCTTGTGTAGTCTTACCTCCATAGTAGGTGGAGTCTTTCTTGTTCTTCTAATCCAAGCTAGAAAGAAAAATAATATTTAAATGTCAGTTTCCCATAATTTGTCCAAACATTTTAATCATTCATCCATAAAACAAATTTTTTTGAGTACCTACTCTATATTATTTTAGGTACCAGAGATACAGCAGGGAATAAAACAGATTAAGTCCCTTCTCTACTGTAGCACATGTACTACTGAAGGGGTTACAGAAAATAAACACACAAACATATGTTTGGTGGTGATATGTGTCATGATGAGAATATAATAGTGTAGAGAAGATAAAGAGGGGACAATTTCATATCTTTAAAATCATACCTCCTAATTATCTAAATTCAACTAGGTATATTTATGGCATGCAAGCCAAACCAAAATACAGCAAACTTCAAGGCAATATCAAAATTATATTATTCTGGAAATTTGAATTAGTTATTGTTCAATTTATAAAGGAAGGGACTTAGAAAAGTTTTCATTTATAGAGATTTCTTTTTTGATTTGCTCCAGCAGCTACTCAATGGTTGAAAAATATCATCAGGCCTTAGCTCTAACACTTGGGAGATGGGCTGCAGAGATAGAGCCCACATTTGTTAAGTGGCTGTTGGGAACTGGGTACTGTGCTGGATGCTTTGCAGCAATGGGAAGGGAGTGGAGCAGCTGCCTCTAGGGAAGTTATCAGAATCACATGGAAGACAGTATAGTATAGTGCTTATGAGAACGATTCTAAAGTCAGATTTTCTGGATTTAAATCCCAGCTTCATCACTTACTGTCAATGTCACCTGAAGCAAGTTATTTAATTTTGTAAGCATCAGGCTTCCCATCTATAAAATGGAAATTATAAAAGTATCTACACTTCAGGGTTGTTGTGAAAATTATATGAGATAATGTACATAAATGCTTACCTTGAAGCCTGGCACATAAATCTAAGTTATTAATATAAGTATTATTATTCAATAAACCTTTTAAAAATAAGACTCAAAAAAACAAAAGATCAATAATATCTGCTTAGCCTAATGTTATATAGGAGATTGTGAGAAAATATACTATAGGGAATATGATCTTGAAGGCCGTTGTTTTATCATTTTAGTTGATTTACTCTTCACTACAAAATTGAAGAAATAGAAACAAAATGACTTCCCCAAGTTTATACATTAAATAGTAATGGTTGTATTTGAATTCAGATCTGACACTGTCTCTGGCTCTAAATACCATCCATGCTCAACTAAGCAGTCTTTCAAAGTTTGTGAACAACATGCAAAGAACATTAAACCAGAAAGAGGAAGCCAGGCTAGGTGTGACCCTAACTACATGTTAGAAAAATAAGAACTATTGATCCCAGTTTAGAGATTTGGAAACTGAGGCCCAGAGAGATTAAGAAACTTTCCTAATGCCATATAATTAGCGACTGGGAAATAAACCCTGGTTGAACTGGCTCTAAAGTCTTAGCTTTATCCATCTACCAGCCACTCTCTCGTGACTATCTCTAACAGCTGGCCTTATTCATCTAGGCACAGACTGTCAGTGACTTACAACAGTTTGACTTAGGATTTTCAACATTATCATGGTGTGAAACCATTCTGTTTTTCATTTCAGTACTTATTCAATGAATTACATAAGTTATTCAAAACTTTATTATAAAATAAGCTTTGTGTTAGATGATTTTGCCCAACTATACGTTAATGTAAGTGTTCTGAACACATTTAAGGTAGGCTAGGCTAAGCTATGATGTTCAGTAGTCTAGGTGTATTAAATGCATTTTCTACATGATGATATTTTCAACATATGATAGGCTTATTGGGACATAACCTCATCGTAAACCAAGGATCATCTGTAATAGCACCAGGACCTGTCTTCATAAAAAGCCCAGCACTGAATGGTTTGTGGGGGTGGAAACAGCAACATTCACCTGCAGGCTTGGGATCAGTCATTTCCCCCTGCTCTATTGTCTCTTGCACTTATCCCTCATATGTATCTCCAATACAGTTCCAGTGTTCTCCATTCTCTACTACCATTTCTGAACTTCTATCCTTGTTATTCTTTCTGCATTCTCTTTCTTTCTTTTTTCTTTCTTTCTTTTCTTTTCTTTCTTTTCCTTCTTTCTTTCTTTCCTTCTTTCTTTCTTTCTTTCGACAGTCTCGCTCTGTTACCCAGGCTGTAGTGCAGTGGCGTGATCTCAGGTCACTGCAACTTCTGTCTCCCAGATTCAAGTGATTCTCCGGCCTCAGTCTCCCAAGTAGCTGAGATTACAAGTGCTCGCCACCATGCCCAGCTAATTTTTGTATTTTTTGTAGAGATGGTGTTTCACCATGTTGGCCACACTGGTCTTGAACTCCTGACCTTCAGTGATCTGCCCACCTTGGCCTCCCAAAGTGCTGGAATTACAGGCGTGAGCCATTGCACCCAGCCTGCATTCTGTTTCTATTAGTTTCTACTCCTATTTGGCCTATTTCTAGCCAAAACTTGTACAGATTTCTTTTATGCTTTTTTTTTTTTTTTTTTTGAGATGGAGTCTTGCTCTGTTGCCAGGCTGGAGTGCAGTGGTGCAATCTCGCTCACTGCAACCTCTGACTCCCTGGTTCAAGTGATTCTCCTGTCTCAGCTTCCCAAGTGGCTGGGACTACAAGCATGCGCCACCATGCCCAGCTAATTTTTGTATTTTTAGTAGAGATGGGGTTTCACCATGTTGGCCAGAATGGTCTCAATCTCTTGACCTCATGATCTGCTCGCCTTGGCCTCCCAAAGTCCTGGGATTACAGGCATGAGCCACAGCACCTGGGCAACTTGAACAGATTTTATCTCCCTTGTGAGTCTGTAAGGTTGTCAAAGGCAGGAGGTACCCATGGGAGATTTATTTTTCTGTCATTGTAAGTACCTACTCTTTGGGGGTATTTACTCTTTTAAATGCTTTAAAAGAGTTGGTACTTTAAAAATTATTGAATGAATATTTCTTCTGAAAAATATTTGTTCTATCAGGATTTTGATCTTTATTAGAAAATCCAGCTTAGCAATACCACAATTACTCTGTGTAGTCAAGAAAATAAGTGACTTTGGGAATTTTTCAATTGCCTCTTTATGGCCCAAATTAAAGTTACTTAGATTCAGGCCAAGATGGCCAACTAGAAGCAGCTAGGGTACGTGGCTGTCATGGAGAGCAACCAAAGGGGCAAGTAAATATAGCACCTTCTACTGAAACATCCAGGTACTCTCATTGGGTTTAATCAAGGAAACAACTCGACCCCTGGAAAATGAAGAAAAGCAAGATAGCACAATGGCCCATGCTGGAGCGACACGGAGCCAGGCGAACCTCCCCCACCTGGGGAAGTGGTGAGTATTCTAACGTGTGACCCTGGAAAACCATGCTTCTCCCATGGATCTTTGCAACCCTGAGTCAGGAGATCTCCTCCTAAACCCACTCCACCAGGGTCTTCAGTCTGACACACGGAGCTGTGTGGACTCTTGGCAGAGCAGCCATTCAGGCATGTGCAGATGCACAGGAGCTTTACATGCTTAGGCTCCAGGCTTCTTGGCAAGAGTGACTGCAGCTCTGTGAGGGAAGGAGGTTGGACCTCTGTACATACCCCTAGGAAGAAGGCTGAATTGAGAAGGCTGAGGAGTGATGGTCCACGGGCCCCACTTCCACAGGGCCTCACAAGACAAGATCCACTGGCTTAGAATTCCAGTCAACCACTGACAACAGTGTCGCCCAACCTGGGACAGAGTTCTCTGGAGGAGGGAAGGGCCACCATCTTTGCTGTTTGGATAACTCAGCAGTTCCAACCTGTGAGTTTTGGAGAGTCCAAACCGACCAGAAACAAAATGGATCCCCCAGCACAGCACAGTTGTTCTACCAAAATGAGGCCAGGCTGTTTCTTTAAAGTGGGCCCCCAATCTGTTCCTCCTCACTGAGCAGGACCTCCCCATTGGGGCCTCCAGTCACCCCTGCCCATGTTCTCAGGCTGACAGATTTGAGAACTTCCTGGGACCGCTCCCAGAGGGAGAGACAGGCCGCCATCTTTGCTGTTTGGGTGACATAGACATTCCAGCCATCAGGCTTTGGAGAATCCAAGTTGACCAGTGGTGGAAGCAGTATCCCAGCACAGCACATCTGCTCTATGAAAGCATATCTAAGAGGTTCCAAGATGGCTGAATACGAACAGCTCCAGTATATAGCTCCCAGCATGAGTGACGCAGAAGACAGGTGATTTCTGCATTTCCAACTGAGGTACCAGGTTCATTTCACTGGGGCTTGTCAGACAGTGGGGGCAGGACAGTGGGTGCAGTCCACTGAGTGAGAGCTGAAGCAGGGCAAGGCATCGCCTCACCCGGGAAGTGCAAGTGGACAGGAAATACCCTTTCCTAGCCAAGGGAAGTTGTGACAGACAGCACCTGGAAAATCGGGTCACTCCCACCCTAATACTGTGCTTTTCCAAGGTCTTAGAAAACAGCACACCAGAATATTATATCCTGCACCTGGCCCGGAGGGTCCCATGCCCACGGAGCCTCACTCATTGCTGGCACAGCAGTCTGGGATCAAACTGCAAGGCAGCAGTGAGGCTGCGGGAGGGGTGCCCGCCATTGCTGAGGCTTGAGTAGGTAAACAAAGCGGCCAAGAAGCTCGAACAGGGTGGAGCCCGCTGCAGCTCAAGGAGGCCTGCCTGCCTCTGTTGACTCCACCTCTAGGGGCAGGGCATAGCTGAACAAAAGGCATCAGAAACTTCTGCAGACTTAAATGTCCCTGGTTGACAGCTTTCAAGAGAGTAGTGGTTCTCCCAGCACACAGTTTGAGATCTGAGAACTGACAGACTGCCTTTTCAAGTGGGTCCCTGACCCCCAAATAGCCTAACTGGGAGGCACCTCCCAGTAGGGGCCGACTGACACCTCACATGGCTGGGTGACCCTCTGAGACAAAGCTCCCAGAGGAACGGTCAGGCAGCATTTGCTGTTCTTCAATATTCGCTGCTCTGCAGCCTCTGCTGGTGATACTCAGGCAAACAGGGTGTGGAGTGGACCTCCAGCAAACTCCAA